CATGGGCAACTGCACGATGAACAAAAAAGTGCACCCCTTTTCTGGCGTTAAGGAATTTCATCCACATTTTTAACCCCAGTCACCATTGGGCTTTATGTGATGGTGTAGTTTAGATACTATAGCCGCTAACTGCAACATGTGTGAAATTCTTGCGTTCTTGTCGGCTGGTAAATAAGCTAACAATAACTTGGTACTAAACACAATACCAAGATATTCAAGTTATTGTGGTGGCCCAATAATTTTGGTGACAGTGCTATGTTACAAAACCGGAACACATCGTCATAATAGCCTGTGAGCGTAATGTTGTTTCCCAATCAGCGTCAGTGTTTAAAAAGTCATCAAGCAATTGTAAACCGAAACTAATTCTATATTTAAACTTTTGGGTTTGACATGGATCCGGAGACAATTCTTGTGAAAAAATAGTACTTGTTTTGCCACTTAATTCTATGTAATTCCACATTGCAGGATGAAGTGGGGTTTGTTTGAAAGCATCAGTAATATCGTATTTACACATAAATGATGGACCTACTCACATCATCAATAGTAATGCATGATAAAGAAAAACCGTCTTTGTCAATCATATCATTAATGTTAGAAACACTTAGGTCTCTTTCTTATGTCATTGGTAAACAACTGGCATTTCGATCTCTTGGTTTTTCAGGTTGAGAAGCTGCTTTCTTTGCAAAACGAACATGGTAAACATAGAATGGTTTACCGTCGAAACTGTTGGACGTGTCAAAAATGTTCATAGTATGAAATCGAGATTCTCTCTTCTATTTGGGAAAACCCTCACAGATGATAATTTTATAACACCCGAACGCTACTGGAAATTGTCTGGGAGTTAACGTTTTAATCAAACGTACATTGTTGTTTATTTTAATAGGGATTTCATTCACCGATGCATCGACAATCAAACTCGATTCGGACGCCAGGGATAAGTGGCGAAGCAAGGTTAATATATTTTCGTCAACAATGCTTCTCCGGACTGCTGGTGACACATCTATAATATCGGGTATATCGAGTGAAACATTTGAAATCGGCCTTTTCGGTTGCGACTGTTCGTCTCATGGGCAAATATGGGCACGGCTGGAGCCGGTTCTTCACCAAAGCAGAACTCGTTTTATGCGGGTTCAAAAGTATTCGCAGTCGCCGTGTTTGATCCACGAATTAAAACGGCTAAACCCTAGAAAGTTGTATTTCTGCCATCTCTCTACGAATACTAATATTGTCGCTATCGCCTGTTGTCGCTTGTGTGATACTTGTTACATATGTCCTGGAAACAGAATTACCTACGACAATCACGGCAGTTACTGACGAATTTATGCTAATTGTATTTGCATCTTTTGTAGAGGGTGCTAGTTTGGCCGGGGCGAGATTTCAAATTGTACCAAATAAAAAACACCCATAACACCGCTGTGAACTGGGTTCTTTTATATTTCGAAACTTAACGCAGTTGTAGATTAGATATGCGACCTAAGCAACAAGTACACGCTACACGAGTAAGGATTAAACAACGCATTTTTCCACAAACGTGAGGGGTGGGCAGCAAATACCTGACCCGTTACAAGTGGCATTGGGATACACGTTGTATGATTACACAAACAATATAACATTAGAACAATAATAATTTCATAATAATATTATATTATTTCCATACGGGTATGGAGTGGGCAAGAAATGAAAGGCCCATTACAAGGGATGGTGTATTACGTTAAATTATTACAAGGAAACGATTAAATCGGAAATGTAGGTAATTGTGTAACAAAGAAGCTTACATGCATGCATAACAATACGAGACAGACATACATAACAGACACAAATAATACTGACGATCGGACACGGCTACCGGTGGCGACGACGGTAATTATTGAACGCAGTCAGAAGCACTGTAGTTGTAGAACGCATGTTGCACACTCAGTCGAACACGATACTAATCAATTACAGAGTTTATCTGTCCAACATTCGTAACTTGTAGAAGGAGATCTGTCCGCGTGAATTCCCATGCATCAGCATAAATTAGGATGCGCATCCAGTTCAAAACCAAAATGGCGAGTTTCCCCACTCGTTAACTGCAGTTGGCCGGAATTATCATACCATGCACATTCAGTGGATCAAAATACATTAATTTGAATGTCAACACCACAGTGCATTGTTCTAAGGTTACTGACAAATGCGTGATTAGTGGACCCGTTAAAATTGGTATATCTAACAGTCAGCCAGCAACAGCTAAACGACGTCTTCCAGAAAAGATCACGAACTCCCATGATGCAATATAATTTATTGGCTTACTGTGCTACCGACAAGATCGGACATCCACATTATTTGGTCACATCGGGTTCTATCAATGTCAGTTTCTCCAGTACTTACTAGAATAAAGTCTAACTCCTATATCTTGTAATTTGTCGAGTTAAACATATGATGTCCAGTTGTTGGGATTAGTAGCTTCTAGCGACCTAGTGCCAGCGGATCGTAGAGTGGTCCGTTGCGCGATTTTTGGGACGTCCGCTGTAATATCTTTGAACAGGAGTGTCCTGCTTCTTCAGCGTGTAACCATAGAAGGAAATGCCATATCGTTGTGTTATGTGCAGAAACACAGCTAAAAAAAATTAAGTCTCTTATGAACTTGAAGCCTGGGCAATAAGACAGA